CCTAGTAGCGAAGGCCTCCAACCTACTGGCGATGGCCCTCCAACCTAACTGCGAGGACACCCTGATCAGCTCGGAGCCCTTCGACCTCATGGAGCGCAGCTCCGATGTGCCCAGTGGCGCACATCGCTTGGTGCGCCTGCGGCGCACGGGCGAGGAGCGGTCCGGCACTCTTGTTCCGTTCGTAGCTTCTTGTTGCTAGTAGTAAGGCCAGGAGCTACTAGTAGCGTCCTTGCTCCTAGATGAAGAGATGACGACAAGGGTTTCAACACTCTTGTGATCCCCTTCCGATCATGCCTGGCCGGTGCAAGCCCTAACTACTCTTGATCACTTCCAACACGGTACTCAAAGAAGTCAAATCTTGTTCCTTGGCTTTGTTGATGCAAAGACGGCTGAGTCTTTTAGTCAATGCAGTTGTCGCCCCGGTGAGATTTGCACATGGGTGTGTTTTTAAAATAGGGAGACCACCCAAAGACCACCTGGAAGAAAGAAAATCAACCAGTCTACTCATTGGTCCAGGCTGTCCGCCTATTCCCAAAACCCACCCAGATCTAAGCAAAGAGGTCGCTTGTATCACTTCTATCATTCGTCCGCATGAGATCCGTCTCCGACTTCACAGGTGTGGTGACAACCAACCGGTGCCCAGGTCCACCACCTGTGGTCGGGTCTCCAAACAGCCTGGGCCAGGAGGGTCCTGGCATGTGTCCCGTCCTTCTCCGTTCCGCTCCAAGAGTCTCCGAGACCTCTCCTGAGACCCGAAGGGTTCTGCTTGGATGACAAGGGCGGGCCCATGGACGGAACACCGGGGGCCTTACCAGTACAGGTCCCAGAATCCGTGTTGGGCTTCGAGCGCGGCAAGCAAGGGACGGACTGACCAGTGGTTGGGGGTTCCGAGACGGACGGACCAGTGCTCTGCCGTTGTTCACCGGTGCATCGAGTTGAATGAAGCCTTGGCTTCGAGTTGAAGCCGCTCTCCCCAGCGACGGTCCTGGAGCGCCGAGCCAGGTCCGAATTGGTCCACCCCTTCTACCTCTCTTGGGCTCACCCGGTCGGCGGTGGATAGAACCGGGTGAGGCGGAGCTGGATTCCGGTTCTCGAACCGGGGTTCAAACAGGGTTTGAACCGGTTCGTTCAAGCCAAGTACTTTCTAAAATCCAACCGTTTGGGAGGTCCCTCAAATCAAATCCAAAGCCATTTTTTATATAGCATCTGAGCCCAAGTTACTCAAGTTCACGCTGAAGCTTGTGAGTCGTGACTTGGTTCAAGCTCTTCAGAAATGGATTTGACTTCCTTTCGGGTAAACTCTGTGGCCGCTTGGGAGATCCCAAAGTTCACTGCACCATGCTGCACTTATTGTCTCAAGGATGGTGCTTTGGGACATGCTTTAGCCTTAACATCGTCCCCCATGCCCGGTGCCTTTGGCACCTCGGGGTTTCTGGACACACCGAATCACCTCTTGAAGTCGGGGGCCAATTCGACACCGGAAGGCCCGGAAGGGTTTATGGGAGGAGACTCACCGGAAGGCCATTTCCGGCCCGTTTTCGATGCCGTAGAGACTTGAAGAGTTCCCTGGAGGAGATGGAGTCAACGAATCTTTGAGATCTTTCGGCACCTTACGACCTTAAGGGATCACAGGCTCAATGGGTGTGAGTCGAGATCGGGGATCGAGATGAGAGGAGGGGAGGGGGTTGTTCTTGAGTTTCGTTTTGGGTGTGAAGAGGGAAGAGCCATTTGCAGCCTCGGATGCTCGAAATTCGACCACCCCCGGAAACTACCTACCAGCGAAGCCAACAGTTGAGGAATTCCAGCTTCACCCCAAAGAAGTTGATTCCGTGGATTCTCACTTTCTCCGGGTTTCCGCTTCTTCTCGTACCTCACCGGGATTCCTCCACGCCTCCGGGTGTTCTCACCCCACATTCTCGCACCACCTCCGCTTTTTCTCGCCCCATCTCTGCATTTTCTCGCTCCTATTTTCTCCGGCCCGTAATTTTAATTTCTGAGGCTCCACTTTTTAGAGGTGTAGGAGGAATTTCCACACTTCCGACAAAAACGACAGAAAGTCTGATAAACGATCCTTTTACGGCATTTAAGGCTTAGCTGGTAGGTTTGGACCGTTTGGAGGGTGAACATGAATGGCTGGGAAGGAAGTGATTTTGGGGAAGGATCATGGGCTTGGGCCTTGAATGTCCAAGATCGGCTTCTCATCATAGGGTTGTCCTCGAGACTGAACGGCCTGGTTTGTTGAAGCGAGGTTGTAAGCTTCCGGCAGGTGAGACGAGTCAAAAAAGAGCCTTTCTTCGAGTAGAGACCCTGGCTAGTTGGTTAGGTCCCTAGGTCAATGAGATAGGATTTGCAAAACGATAGGTGTTTTTTTTTGGTGAGTGCTGCATTCTGAACGCACATGAGATAGGAGTTCCTAGCCAAACTCCCACCTCACTTTTGGCCACAAGTCCTATCTCATAAGGACCTGGTGAAGCCACGTGAAACCCTTAGGTGAGGATCAAAAAGAACAGGCGGCAGGGCGTGACACTCAGGGACAGGTTGGTCCAGAGCACCGCAACGTCTGCCGTGACACACAGGCCATGCTCTCCACTGCGGGTACGCTTGACTTCCCTGATGAGCCCATTGGTAGCTCATCCGGTGAGTAAATTTTTATCATGGGACTATTAGTCCCCCCGAGTATTCTGGAATGGTGTAGCTGCTGTTCCATGAATGGCTTCTGTTTCGCATGGTTTTGACTGCCAAAACCTGTGGCGTTTTCGTGCTCGGCAACTGACCGTGACCGGTCCGAGTATGTAGGCTTTGGCCCCTGTGGTTTTGATCGAGCAGGTCGAATGGGCGCAGATGAATGAAGCAGTCAGCCAACTAAGGTCATGTCTCTTTGTTCTCCGTTGAGCGTGGCACATCAACATCTCAAACATCATCAGTACCAGCACCCTCCAACAGGTCACCACCCGGCCACTTTTAAGTCTCCATTTCAGCCACCCATTTCGGAGACCTGGCAGTGACGGGTGCTGGTAGGGGGTGCTGGTTATATAGACATTAGACATGGTCCAAAGCTTTGCATCTGAACTGGGCGACCGGAGATGGGTGTGGTTCCTCCATGTGTCCACCCTCGAAGCCCCCCATAGAAGCCCCCCATGACCGGAATGACCGGAATCACCTGGAAGTGTCGCTGGGAGATGCTGGAAGCCTTTCGTGAGAGAGCTTGAATTCAAAGCTGAAATCAGCGGTGAAAAACGCCAGTGAGGCTGAGAATCGAGGTCGGGGCATGGTTCTGTCCCGCCCGGCAACTCCCTGGAATCATCATGGTTGCGAGTGAAAACCGAGTGACTCAGGGGAATCACTAGGCTTAGCCATGTGACGAAACCGAGAGCCGTCTCGTTTGGTTTTCCGGGCGCTGCTGACGGACCAGACCTCACCAATGTTCCAACGCGGCACAAGGTGCCGAGCTCAGCCAAGTGCTGACCAGATGAGGACGTCTCACCTGCGCAACGGCCCCACGCCGCATGGCGCACATGTTCCGTTGAGACTCTCGACACCCTCAACCACCCTCAATTGGACCCATTCCGCCCCATTCGGTGTTCTGTTTGGCATACCGTTCAACTTCAACCTGCTCTTTGCGCGACGCAGAAACTGCAGTTTCGGCCACACGACGACAAAACCGAAGAGACGTATGTAGAAGAAAGGTGAGAGGTTGATTGTAGAGACATTTGGATGAACGTGACGAAGTGGGAGAGCAGCGGACCACCTACTTCGCTAGCACCGGTCATTAAAGAGAAGGACACGTCGAAAAGAGTGCTTGAGCGTGGTGGGTTTCGGGGTTTCTGGATGACGAAGTGTCTTTGACCGGGGTTCAGTCTTGGGTGCTCTCTTGCTTGAGAGAAGTCACTTCTTTAAGGCTGTTGACACCGCACCATCCTTCGGGAAATCTAAGAAGCTCAAAGTTGAATTGTTTGTCCCTGGACTATTGGGTCTATCAACAGCTCAAAGAAGAGTTCCTGGCCGCCGAACACCAGCTGGGGTGGCAAACTCACTTGTCCGGCCATAGCCCTGTGGATTCGATTCTTTGACTCAAAGAAAGTAGGTAGGGGTTGAGGGGAAGGGGACCTCAACGGCGCTGGTTCACTCCAAAACGCCCTGCGGACGGTGAAGAAACCGGATCCGGCGCCAGGTGGCTGCTCAGCAAGCGGCACAGGCGCGAGACTGCCGGGTCGCGTGGATCTGAAAGGGTCGACAGTGCAGGGTTGGATTGGGGATGAGACGCAGAAAACCACCCGAAAAGCATGGTGGGCGTTGTAACATGTCACTCACAGCTGGTCTCCTGATGTCACCTGCTGAACTGCGTTCCCAGGGCTCCTGGGCTCCTGTTCACCTCATTGAAGGGTCCATGGCCGAGACCGAAGGGTGCGCCGGAGCCGGGGCCCGCCAGGCACAAGCACAGGCACAGGCGCAAGCAGCACAAGCACAGTTGCAGGTGCGAACCGCAAGCCACGGCCGGACGTCGCAGGCACTTCCCCCTCTTGGTCGGAAAATGGGTACGGTCGTCACCTGTTTTTTGATGGGGTCATGTCCCGTTTTATAAGGTACGAACTGGAGACTACCAGGTACTTTAGGGAATTCTGTACAAGAGGATGTGGCTGGGTCCGGTCTCGGCCACCTTCTCCGCCCCTGGGGTGCCACCCCGAACTGGACCACTGGACGACCAGCTCCCGAACCCCCAAAAGGTGCTGAAGTCCTGAAGGCGGAGTTCTTCCCGGTTCCTGGAAGGCTCCAGTTTGAGGCCTGGTGGCTTACCCGTTGGGAAACTACGAAGGTCCCATCTCCTCACCTAGAATGGAGGAGCTTCTGACTGAGAGACCCCGTGCGAGACCCGTCTTGCGTGTTCCGTAACCCACCGGCCCACAGACCGCCAGGCCATGGCTCGGCAGCGCGCGCTGCTGTCAGGTGGGAGGAGAAGAGGAAGAGTCGGAGTCCTGGTGGCGCAGGTAGACGGCTGGCACACCTTGAAGAGGTTGAGCAACACCCTCCTAGTACAGTGGTTTCAGAGTCGATGGCACTGGCACGCCAAGATGACTTAGACAGATGGGGGTCCGTATTAACAACCTTTTGGGGGATTGTGCCATCACTCTCAAGCCACTATAGCATATCCATGCATCCCATAAGGTACCTGATTCAGGGCTCTCAACTGCCAACACGGTGCGTCATGGATTTTGGGGTCAGCCCGGTGCTTTCCAGACACCCAAAACGCCCCAGCCTAGCGTTTGCCTGAAGCGCCCAGCGCCGCAGACCCAACTTTGGCAGCTACAGCCGGTGGGTATAATGACTACATGCGCATGCAGCAGGTGGAGTGGAGTGGGTTGGGGTGAGGTGGTCGGTTGGGCAAACCTAGAAGCCGAGATGCCCTATTATGAGTCCTGAAACCTTTCATTGCCAGACTTGCCTTTCATTGCCCTTTGAGGATCTTTGTTTCCAAGGACCTGGTCGGGAGTATCTTCATGACATTTCATGACTCTTCCTGACCCAAATCCATCCGGCAGCCATATGTATAATAATCAAGTTGTGACACCCTTGACCCTATGTCTATGAGGAGCAATCCTTCGCAGGTCGATTTGCCTCGCAATTCCATGATAGCAGACATGATAGCAGACAGGCTGTTACGTCCACGTCCTGCGACCTCCAGAGCGGAGAAAACGGGTGCCTGCGACCTCCAGAAACTTTATGAAGGAGAGAGAGTGAGGTCTCAACATGTCTCAACAAACTTAAACGAAAACAAAAACGGAGAGAAGGCCTCAACTCACTTTACGAGTGAGAGATTGAGTGAGGATATTCAGAGAGGACCAGCCGATCCGAGACGAGCTTCTTGCGACGAGCTCGACCCTTTGGTCGTAGACCTTATATGGGAAGAATGGGGACAAGACAAGCTATCTGTCTGTATAGGGTCATGTCATGTCCCATTGAACTATAGAGGCTCCAAGGTTGATCAGGCTCTCCTCTCAACTGAGTTGCTGAGTTCTGAAGCCTTTGTTTTGGACTATCCCAACTAGGCACCCTGCGGGTGACGAGGGTCCTTTTCCCAGTCACCCTTCTCAGCTCTCGGTCCCTACCAGGCCGCGCAGGCGCAAGCTGCCCTGGGTGCGTGGGGCGACCCAGGGTGCGTTCGGTGCAACGCGGTCTAACGCGGTGGAGCCACCAGGGAAGCTGACACACGGAGCTTCGTCCAAGCATCTACCTATATACCCCAGCTGTGGGTTCGTCGAATTGGGTCAGGTGCATCACGCGTTTCTCACGCAGCGTTCTTCACGATCAAGCAACTCGAACATGGAGTTGGAAGATCGTGTCCAATGGAAGCCTGATGAAGGCCGTATATATTAATTAAGTATAATGCAAGGGTAGCTCATTGGCACCTCATCTAGAAGTGAAGTCACATGGATGAAGCAGATGGATGTATGCTATTGACCAACCAACACCAAGTATTCAACCAAATACCAGGTGATAAACACCAACAATTGTATATAAGTGTGAAAGAAACCATTCGGAAGTCAAAGACTATAAAAAGAATGGTCTGACTAGGGGACCTGAAAGGGAACTTCCTTTACTTCAGTCGGTCAAAATATAGTCTTTGGACTTCTAGGGCATTGTGAACTGCATGTTCATATCCAACCATGTCGTTCTCGTTGCTTGGGGCGCCACACGGCACACGGCGCTACACACCATGCCGCTCAGGAATGCTCAGTTCGCCACGATGAAGGAGAGACGGGCCGTGGGAAGTGCAGTTGGCAGCCTGAAGAGGTTTGCAGCCGGATTTGTGGCCGAGCATGGATTTAAGAGGATGGAAAGGCTACAGACCAGTTTGTTACAGAGCATTTTTGCTAGAGGATGTTTTACGAAGAGGAATCACATCAGGCCAAACATTTGAATGCTCGAGAATCCGGCTGTAACCCAATCACTGCTTTTTGGGGTGGGACAGGAGCCCAAACGGGCTGCTTTCTCCAGTCACAGAGTGAGAAGAACGGCCACCTTTTTGGGGATGCCACCTGAGGTCTTCCCGTCGGATGAACACGCTGAACTCACGGCAAGAGTTCGCTTTCGGCCATCGACACCGCTCCATGAAACACCTGCCCTGCAACCATGAAGCATCGTGAAGAATCCCTCTTATATAAGAGGATAGGACCTCAATACATGTCGGATGTGTATCACTGGTAGATGGCCCTCTGTCCACTGGTGGTGCTCACACACCAACACAGAGCGATGGCGATCAAGTTCATGACCGTTGTACTGCCCCCAGATCAACGGTCCTCAAAGCGGCACCTGGTGTGATTGATTTTGGGTGCACCTCATGTTGGTGCTGCTTTGGAAAAGAAACAATTGCCCAAACAGAACAAACAATTGTTGGAAACCAATTGTTTGTTTGGAAACCAATTGTTTGTTTGCTTTGGAACCTTTTGCCCAAACAAACGACGTCAAACGTAGCACGGTGCTTCAGTCGTCACACCAAGCACGGTCGCACGGGACGGTCGTCACACCATCGTGCGAGTCACCCTCCTTGCAGTCTCTCATGGGCTTACCACCCCATGGTTATGATGATCGTGTGGAAGCCAAAGAAGATGCGGCCGTATCACCTGGTGATGGTCGAAAAGACGGCTGTGGAGGAAGTTCTATTCTATTTTTTTAAATAACTATCATCCAGTCGGAGATGCTCCAAACAAACTGCTTTCCAACTCCAAGAAACGCATGGTCTCCTAGTATGGTTTAATGAACATTCTTATATAGTTCTGGGACATTGGCAAGTGATCCAGAGTCAGAGAGCAACTGGTTGGCATGACTTTGCTGTTTGGAAAACCACGGGGAGAGGTTTTATTACACGATTTATTTGTACAATTTCGGGGACATCCTAGTTGAAAGAAGGGCGGACGGGGACCTCTTTCTCCTTTGCAGTCCAAGCAACGCCCGTTCATGCCATGCCTGTGCTCGCCTCAGACCCGGTCCCTCCAGGGTCATGGAACTCACACCGAACGGGGCACAAGGAGGTGAAGGATCTAAAGAGGTTTGGATCTTCGACACGAAGAGAGAGGTGACTCGAACCCGGACCCTCCCAGCCCCGATCCACGGCGGACTTGGGACCCCAAAAGGCTGGAGGGGCCCTCCAGGAAGCAGCTTTAGGAGCAAGGTGTGATTCAGGATGTATTCAGGATGTATTCTTCACCTAGAAGTTCCGGAAGCACATGATCGCCAGCAGTTCCATGGTGAACAATGGATGGTGAACCTCCTCTCACTTCTAGGACTGGACTCCAAGCTGCTGGAAGTGCTTTTTCTGTACGTTCCAAGGTCCGATCGTTTTCTCCGGATTCATCGGATTCCCTGAAACCTCCGGACTCTCCGGGCCCCGGTGTCCTCCACGTTTCACCTCCCCGTCTGCTTCGTCTCGCTCTCCATGGATGCGAGCGACTGCGAGCGATGAGGTCGTGGGTGGCCTGATGAGCTCAAGGCGCTCTTCGCGCGGCACGAAGAGTCGGTAGGTCAGTGGAGCAGGTCGGTGAGGTCGGTGAGCAGTAGGTGAGCAGATCGTTTTGGTTCCTTTTGAACAGGTTTTCCGAATGCTTTACTGAGCCACGCTGCTGTGGTTCGTCGACGTTTTGAACAGATCGTGGTTTTTTCCAGCAGTCACATGGAGGCCAGGGTGCTGTTTGGCTCGTCCCATCAAGCGGGGGCCGTGGATGTGACAGGGGCACCCAACTCCGACCTCCATGGAGAGCACTGCGAGCGACCGGTGATTGCTGGTAGACACTTTTCAACGTCGACATAACTAGATACACCCTAGAAGTCCAGTTCGACTATATGTTGACCGACTGAAGTGTTCAGGAAGTTCCCGTACTCAGGTCCCCTAGTCAGACCATTCTTTTTATAGTCTTTGACTCTCAGGGTACATGTTTGTTTGACACCCTTATTATAGCAGGTGAAAAACATCTAGATGTTTCAAGCGAGAAGCAGCTCGGATCTTTGAAGGAGCATGCTTCCTTTGCAAAACCGGTTTGAGAACGGTCCATGCGTTTGAGAACGGTACCTGGAGCCAACAGTGGGACGATTTCACCGCTTCGACGCCCCCAAAAAACTGCTCCTCTCCGCCCAGTGTGGGCACCACTTTGGGGTACGGTACAGTAGATGTTGGTTACAGCTTGAGGTGTTGCGGACATTTTTTCACAAGACAAGGGGACGTGTCCCAAGAACACAGACGATTTCTGGGAATTCACCTATGACCTATTGTTTTTAGTTTTCTGGTGAATATTTGTCTTTTTTCTAGGTTCCTTAAGCATAATATATAAATCCAAGATGAAGTTCTATGACTCTGGAAGATTTCGGCCAGTCATAAAGCTGCTCATTTCATGGTCCCTCTATCAGGGAGCTTTGAGAATCTGCCAGAGCTCTGAAAGAAACAGTGTTTTCCAGAACTTGGAGAGCCCCTGATCCACTCACGGTTTCATGGGACTCCTAGTTGACTTTTTTTGATCTAATTCTGACGGTCTTTGACGGTCTTTTTCTTCCACGGGTCCATCTCACTTCTAATGAAGTGCGCGGCGGCGACCTGCCAGGCCCAGCTTGGTCTGGGAGGTGCCGCCAGTGGTGCAGCACTGGCGCTGGAGCGTGAGCGCCAGCGTCAGACGGCTGCAGGGATGCCAAGTGCTGGCTTGGACATCAGGAATCATCAGGAGCTGAAGGTTTGAATATTTTGTTTTTGAACAACTTGCCATGGTGATCGGTTGACGGGCAAGTGGTGAGGGAAGAACTTGGCACCAACTTTGAGAGCGGCCAGATGTTCAGAGGCCACATGTTCTTCACTGAAAGCTCTGGTTCATTCAGGTGGTGAGAAAGGCTACCTGCCATCTCCGGTGGTTCTTCTGGGGCACGGTGTGGATGTTTGTGGCGTGTGGTCTGGAGGCCATCAAGGAGCAGCAGCGTGTGGAGCAGCAGCGGCTGCAGGACCAACAGCGGCTTGTGGAGGCCCGACGCGTTTGGGACTGAAAGAGGAGGCATGTAGAGAGGCAGACGAGTCGTGATTGAGCCTTTCGAATCGTTGAGATGAGATCTGCTGGCTGTTTGAGCGAGCAGAGTGGCTGTTTGAAGAACTGGTTGGTCCATGATATGGAGCTGAGCCACCTAGGTTTCGATGATGCATGATGATGTGATTTGTAAATGTTCAAGGGGCTTCCCGGTGTTGACATATGTGCATGATGGAACCATGAGAAGTGGACGCCTGCGAGAGAAGTGGACGAGGTGCAGCTGTTGAGGCCGCACTGACAGCCAAGTGTGATCGTTCCAGTCAGTGTCCACAGCACAGCAGTTTAGGTCCAGTCTTTCCCAGGGTCAAACCTGGTCCTGAAAACCTCATTATATCAATGTCTTTGTATACTCAACCTGTAGGTTTTGAATGGTTTTGACCTATAGGTTTTGACTTTGTATGCTCAACCTATTATATAATGTCAAAAATGAGGTCTTTGACCTGTAGGAAGAGTTGCTTGTGAAACACGAGTGCTTCATGGAAACACCGGCCGACATAACTACCGTGACGAGTCTTCCGAGTCTTCCATCCAACGAGTCTTCCATTCCCCCGACCAAGTTCCAGATTCGTGTTTTGAAGCTGGATACCTGAAAGGTGGCCGATGCCGGTGTTCAAGGTGCTTCCAGGTTCCATGGAGTTGGGTGCTGAATATTTGGACATGGGAAACCATGAAACATCCTACCCTTTTCATCCCTTTTCTGGACAAGGGGAACCTGAATTTGAGCACCACCGTGAGGATCCGTTCAACCGTTCGTTCGGGGTGCCCGACCTCGACCTTATACATGGAAGAGCTGAAGAGATCCCGAAACAGGAGATCCGACTCCACCTGGACCCTCCGAGTACGACGCCTAGCCTAGCCAAGCCAAACCCATTAGTAACTACAACTGTACGTCCCCATAGATGCGTCACTCACGGGGTCGACTCCGGTCCAGTTGGCGTCGTTCTCTTCGACTCTTCGATCGGTTCGGGGGTCTTCGACCGGTCTCGGAGGGTGTCGAACTGGATCGCCGCGACTGACGAGTCTTCGGTGACCATTCGGGGCTTGAATCACCCCGACCGGTGGGTCCGTTCTGCCGTTCGATCTTACATGTCATTTCTGCCGTTCGCTTGGCTTATAAGATCCAGATATGACGCTCGACCCTCACGCCTGAGCGGTCCCTAAGTTAACTTAGGGGTTTGAGGTTTCTGGAGTAGGTGGGTAGGCAATTATAGACTATACCTTGGGCCTGTCCTAGGAAACCTGTAACAGCTCGGTTTGTCCTATAGGACATCACTACTTTAGAGATGGAAGTCTGCCAACCGAACCATCATCCACTAGACCCTGGGGTCCATGGGAGATACATGGAGATATCCAATTCTATAGGCTCGGAATAGGGGATGGGACTGGTTTCTCAGGGCCAGGTCCCAGGCTCGGTTCGTCCCCATGGACTTCAGGGGGCGACGGAGAACACGCGAATCAGGTGTCACACCCGAATTACATAAGGTGTCCGATAGAACAGGATCCCATAGGGATGAAAGTGATGTGCCAGAGGCCCAAGACAGTGAGCATTCTTGCTCAACTCGACTGTCTCAGGAGCAGCGGATGCGGCAACAAATGGAACGTGCGCAACAGGCGGCGGCAGCAGCGGCGCAGCAGGCTGCGCGGGAGGCGCAGCAGGCGGCGCGAGAGGCGCAGCATGCGCAGCATGCGCAGCAGGCGCAGCAGGCCCAGCAGGCGGGACGTGAAGCCATTTTGATTATTCGCCACCCGACAGAATTGCATTGCCAGATTTTAGATTGACAACCAACCCTATCGTGCTTTGCTGCTGCATCGAAAAGACAATTATATACAACAAGAGACAGCAAAACATGACACTGACAACTGACAACACTAATGACAACAAACATCAGCACCGGCAGCATTACAATAGACAAGAACAATGACACATAGAGCACACAATGGTGCCACGCCTGCTCAAGTTGTGCCATGAAGCGGCCTCCTTTTTGGGAGATCCTTCTTGGCACCAAGGCCACCATGGTCAAAAACGTTGCTTACATCCCAACGATCCAAATCAACCTTCGAAGTTTTGGGTTCGGGCGACGCCCAGCTTCAAGGCTTTGCTTTTCAATGTCACCTCATCTCTCAAACAGCCACTGCCATCCAGCTCGCTCGTTCAGGGCGATGCGTTTCAAGGCTCTTACAAAGTCGATCCGATAGAGCCCTGAGTTGATCATGTGTCGGCACCTGGTGCCACAGTGGGACGACTGTGCATCGCCCACCTTTCGCCTGACACGAAGCTGGGCGACCCCCGCGACGTAGCGAAAGGCGCACGGCTCCGTTGAGATGGCTCCCTGTGATGAATGCCAGCAGGCGGTGATGAATGCCTGCAGGCAGAAGTCGTACATGCCAGACGCTCCGTGAAAACAGCCCTTTCCTGGTCCCGAACCAAACCATGTCGCCCTCGTACCCTTTTTCGTGCTACGGCCCCGTTCACGGCCACGCCACGCCGGGAAGCAATTGAGCCTGCCGTACATGATCCGAAGACGGATCCCGGGTCCACTGCGAAGGTCTTCCTATCGGTACCGGGCTTATGTCTTCGAGGAGACGGTGCCCGGTGTCCGGGGTCGGGCCGTACCGTTCTTCGGTCCGAAACGAAGGGTGTGCTGACGCCGAAGAAGGTGGGTGTCTTGAAATAGGGAGACCCCCCCTTCACTTGTTGGGTTCAGGAGGTTTCAAGACACTTCTAGACCAGCCTACCCAGCCAGGGCCGTCCGCTGGTCGCCAGACGTTGGTGGACAGGGTCGGGTCTGGTGAATCGCCTTCCCCTGGCGGGCTGGTCAGGGTTGGTCCGAAAGATACCGAGGGGGTGGGGTCAAATGGCGCATCTCCAAATCTTGCAAGTCAAATAGAGATATTAAGTCCAAGACCATTATTAAAAGCGGTTGATCTGGTTTCGTAGTGGTACAATGCTCCTTGAGGTCGTGCTTGGGCTCCGATTTGGGGGTCCAGGGTGCATATGACACCGAAAGGGTGCTCCCGACTTCCCCTTTTCGACCGACCCGTGGTCGGTTCCGTCGATCGGCGTTCAAAGCTACCCAGAACAAGGGCGAGAACACTCCCGGCATCACCTGACCCCCCATGTTTTAGGAGTCACAGAGCGAGTGGGGTGGTGTGAAACGTCCCCTAAAGCCGGGCTGTCGATGTGTTCCGTGGGCACCCACCCAACTCCTACCTCCATGGATCGTCGCACAGTCGCACAGCGAGCGGCCGGTGACGGCTTCTGAACTCTTTCTTCTTCCAGTGCCCAAATCGTTGAGAGAGTCTTGGCGAACGATGGATGCTCCACAAATGCGGCCCATGGCGCTTTCTGGCTCGCACCCTGAGCGAGCTCCCCAGTGAACCGGACAGAGGCCCGGAACTGGTGCCCATGACCATCTTCTCTAGCTCAAACGAGATGAAAAACTCTGTTTTGCAACATAGAACTCTAACATAGTCTAACTGTATAACTGCATGGATATAACTGGAATCACACGGAACAACCGTATAACTCTCATGTTTTGCAATATATATATATATACATATGCTATACTCCTGTCTTTCAGCCAACCTTCGGATCGTTCAGGACGAGGGTGGTCATTTTTTGGACGCGTGACCTGCGACGATGGTCCTGCATACGGAGCTGGCTGTTCACGCCATGCTGCGCAGAGTTCGAAGCTGTTCATCGGCTCCAAGCTGTCTGCGCATCAGCTCTAATCAGCGCATCGTCTCGCAGGTGAAGTAGTAGTAGCTTCTGTGGAACAAACAGAAGTAGTACCCAGACGCTCGACCTCGCAGCCGGACCGGCCCACCTTGGAGACTTGAGACGATCCCGAAGCACCGATCCCTTGGATCCAGGGTCGATCCCTCGGTACCGAGTTGTCTGTCTTTTGACCACACTCGATGATCGATGAGACACAAAAGAACGACACAGATCATGACAGCACCGCACGGCACAATGGAGACGGGCCCCACCCATGCTGTGACCTCTGCTGCTGCAGGGCATCAGCCAGTGCCTGGCTCCAATGCCACACAAGATAACCGACAAAAACCATGCACACACACACAATGCCACATAATGACACATAATTAATGACACACACACACACACACAGGACCAAGACAACAGGAGGCAACAAGCAATGACACACACACAATCAAAACCACCAAAGTAACCACACGGTCACCGTGGCCGACGCAGTGATGCCTTGCCAGTCACCCCGACCCAGTGATCCTACCAGTGTACCTGGGTAATTAATTACCTGGTGTGGTAGGCTAGCTCAAAGAAAGTCTGACCTGGTGTTGTTTTGTTTGTTTTTGACTTTTTTACTGGGTATGGTAGATTTTAGGCCCAAAGACACATTGCAGACAAGAGAAACCGAATGAGCCAATCCAAGAGATCAAAGAGGAACATAAAGTCATGTTTTTGATGAGCGTAGCACGGCAAGTTCCGCCCATCCTCAGAAGGAAGACCAAAGCCGGCCTTTTCAGTTTCGAGTCCTGAGGAGAGAAACCTTGGGGAGACCGGTTGGATGGCAAGATCTGACGGCTAGTGTGGCTAGTGTCTTCCAACCGACAGAGAGAACACCTTTGATGTTCCCCAAACCAGCATTGTAAGGACCAGTGTCCAGTTTCAAGCAGAGCCGCAAAGAGTCTTTCGCGATGAGAACACCGTTTCCATCCTGTCTTTGACCCCGAAAGCAGAAGCACACGTTGACTCCAATGATGTCGAAATCAACACCATGACCAATCTAAAAGATCCAGCCTAATGTGAAAAATCACGATCAGATGGCATATGGAAGGTAGCGAAAACGCCAACTAGCCTGTGTAGAACATTTGGTGATTCACTACAATCTGGAAGTTCATTTTCAGGACTCTCCTTTTTGGAACTAGACATCCATGGACCCCGAGATTTTCAGGCCAAGCCTCCACCTCCCATATTGCCACCGACACCCGCGCCCTCCATACCAGCCATAGAGGTGCGGAGTGAGGGTGAAGTGTTCGATGGGATTGGATTGATGTCGCGATCCAGTCGTACCTTCGAAGGTACCACTGGACCCCCCTGGACCAGTGTCACAATGTCCTCGTGTCGAACACTGATCCGGCGTTTTTTCCGAGGTAGGGAGGGTGGATCGGTGGATCCCTGATAGGGTCAATTGGAACATGGGGATGTTGGACACCTGATCGTTGCCATCTTCCCACTCCCTCAAACCCGCATCTCACTGTCTCGAGACCATCTTCCCACTCGAGACAGGGCTCGGAACGCCCGGGCTGAACATGTTTGGATCGGAAGCGAGTTGAAGACCCCGCGGCGCGTTGACGCGCGAGAGTCGAGAATAGTCGAGAGTCGAGAGTCATTGCCAACTCGTCAGCGAATTCGAAGCCAACTTGCAGATCGCACCAGTCCATGCAAATGAGTCTCAATGGTCCGGAGTCGAATTGGCTAAGTGGGATTGACCCTGGCAGTAGATTGGGAGTTCCAATACACTGGCTATATTGGAACTGTGCTGACCCGACCAAACATCGCCGCTCATAGAGACTGTTTCCTCCCTAGGGCTCCAACCATATCCTCAGAAGGTGGTTAGACTCCCCAAACCCACCCAAACCACCTTCTCAGGAGGTGGTTGGAGCCCTAGGGACTGCCATACGCGTAGAAATGATGCTCCAAAGCCTCTTCGAAATCCCCAGGGACTGTCAATAGGGGGACCGGTCTGGAACGCCGTGACGTCGTCAGACGCGTTCACAGTGGGTCAAACATCGGGGGGTTCACCTTCAATATGACTTCCTAGGCAATCTGCGTATGATATGGGGAAGTGCACAAGAGGAGATGTCATGACGTCCCCTCCCTGTCAAAGTCCAGCAAAGACGATCCAGGAACTGCCCAGGAAGTGCCTAGGAAGTGCCCTGACTGGGGTCACCTATATATAGGCAGTGGATAAAACACGATAACACCTTTAACATCCTTTAACCCTTTTTGGGGGATTGGCTTCCCTACTAATCACTAATCAAGAACATGTGGCTCAAAAGCTTAACCTCTATTCTCCAGGAACATCTTCAGCTCGCAAGTGAAAGGTCACCCAGACATCGTCCTTCGCAACCCAAAGCAACCCAAAGCACCCAGCCTCGGAGCCAGACTTGCTCCGCTTGCTCCACTGGCTTCAGGCGGCCACGGTGGCCGCGGCCGAGGAGCGAAGAAAGGCACTGCCTCGGAAGTCCTCCGGGCACCTCGGCTGCCCAAAAAAGGGGGGGTTTGCTAATCCCTAGGGATCCAGGTGGGTACCGAACCTCAGAAGGTGGGACTGGGGTGGGTGCCAGGGTCCAGGTGCCTTCTGAGAAACCGTGCCACTATCTAGGTTGACACCCTTTGAAAGGTCCAGGCAGGCCAGAATCTGGGCCATGTTTCATGCTGTACCAGCACCCTCCAACAGGTCACCACCCGGCCACCTTTAAGTCTCCAAAAGCTACCAGAGGAGACCTGGCAGTGACGGGTGCTGGTAGATGGAACTCACTTTGGAGAGTCAGTGAGTTCCTTGCAGGGCCGTGACACGTAGCTCCCCAACAGGGCTCCAGGTGTCCGAGGGCTCTCGGCTGCTGACCTGAAGGTGACCTTTCGGGACACTTAGCGCTTGGTTTTCCATGTGGATTGAGTTACTTGGAACCCCAAACAACCGGAAAGAAATGGATGTTTCCCCAAACAACCATTTCCTATGTAAAGGATTTCAATTGCCATAATGGAACAACCATTTGTTTCTAATTGTTTGGGGTTCCAGGTAGGAGTATAGCCTTCTCACAGGACGTAAGCTCTCCGTCCTCGTCTCGAAGAAGTGAAGACCTCGTCGATTTCGGGGTGGACGTGGAGGTTGAGATGCTGAAACCTCTTTCCGTGAGGGTCAGAATGGTCATCCCTGCAGCTTTTGGATTTGACCATAAGTGGCTTCGACATGCTTTGACTAGAGTGCTCCTTTGAGCAAACAGAGACAGACATCGAATGAACATCATCATGGGGTCATTGTTGGGGGGGGGACGAACATGCACCGAACCAAGTATCCGAATGTCCGACATCGGTCGCACGGTGTCCGACCCATCTTCTTTGTCGCACCTGGTCAAACGACCAGCTTCTCCAGGACCGCAGCAGAATCGGTTGTTGGGTCATTGAACTGAAGAACCAGGTATCCCAACCTTCGAAACACCGGTTCAAACGTCTTTCCCAGGTCCCTCCGAGTCCTACCCACCTTGGAAGAAAAGAGACCTCATCCCCAAAGCGCTCTACCAAGGCACAAGAATGAGCCTGCAGGCGCGCTCTTGGATCTCTCACGGCGCTACTTCACGTGAAGTCTTGGTCATGTTGTGGATGATGGTCCGACGGTGGTGGTGTCAAGCAAGAGTCTGCCAAGAGTGTCGTGTCAAGCGACCGAAAGACCCGCCGATTGGGGTGTGAAGTGTAGGCTCAGGGCCCCGGTGGAGGGGGTTCGGCGTTTCCGTACCATGGCCCCAAACGCCAAGCGGGTTGGTGGCTTCGTGCAGAAAACCGCACCCCAAGGTGGTCGGTGTCAAACACCTGCTGGAGCTCCAGCCGTTCGCGGGTGAAGCGCGAGGTGAAGCGCTCTTTGACCTGAAAAAAGAGCTTGATTATGCGCGGGGTACCTATGGGGATAGTCTGGATAGTCCAAAAAGGTTGGGAAGGGGAGAGTTCAGAGCTTGTCGGAAGCTACTTTTGGTGGACATTTCGGAAGTGGACCATGGGATAGTCTATACCAGCACCCTCACTGCCAGGCCTCCAAAATGGTGGCTGAAATTGGAGACTTACAAGTGGCAGGTGGTGAGCTGTAGTAGAGTCGGGTGCTGGTAGGGATCCACTTGCCATCGTACCTCAGGTTCGGGTACGACTGGACCCGACCCTGACGCCGATGTAAAAGTGTCAACCTCTGAGTTCTTCAACCTTTGTTCCTGGAACCCCAAACAACCATGTCCTATATGTAAAGGATTTCAAGCAAGCCATATTGGAACAACCATTGGTTTCTGGTTGGGACTGGGGTTCCAGCTTGGTAGATGAAAGAGACCTTCGCTGCCCTCGGCCGGAGCAGTGTCCCGGCGCCACTCCAGAGTTCGAGCGACGAGACACGCATAGGACGCAAGATAGAGATTCATCCAAACCCATATTTGGATGGTAAAACATCCAAACCCATATTCGCACATGTCGCTTTGATGATTTATTTTGAGTCTACCTTTGGAGCACTGAGCACTCCTCCCTTCTCTCAGCTGCTGTGCGAGCCCCTTGGAGTTTGGATTGGGGAGACTTGGGTCGATCGTGCCAGGCTTTGGAAGGGATCGCCCACTCAGAAAGGCCTAGGCACATCGCCAGCATGTGCCGGCAGAAGGCCGCTTCGCTGCCATTCTCCAATAAGAGCAGTTGGTCACCTTGGGCTTCATCTGTGCAAGTGCATGCCTACTAACACCCTTATTCTTCACTTAACAGCAGGCAGGGTGGCTATTCGGACACATGGCATAGAAGTTGTCAGCGGCACTGCACGCATATTTCGGTGACCGGTGCCACAAAAGCCGGCCGTGCCAGACGTTCTCATGTGCGCCCTGGGGTCAGCACCCTCACAGAAGGCTCATGAGTTAAGCTTGAAGTGTCTTATGTAGCTCTCTCTCTCTCTCTCTGTGCGTTGTGCTTTGGTGGTGAGGAAATCATCGATCTTGACAGGGACGCCGCTGGCCAAGGGCTTCGCTTCCGTGTCGCTTCCATCGAAACCAGCCTCAGTCGCCCCGGGAAGGGCGGCCCTTGGGCCGGGTCCAACGCTGTGAGGGGCCCGTTGGCGCTGGTACCAGAAACCCTGGGCTGTGCAGCCTTCAGAAGGAGCTGATTCACAAGAGGAGCAGTTGATGCCTTCAGAAGGAGCTTGGGAAGGTCCTGGTTGTTCAGAAGGAGCAGTTTTGCCTTCAGAAGGAGCTTCAGAAGGGCAGATGCAGCTGAGATGCTCCGTTGTGATGTCGTCGGGATTTGATTTTCGCACCATCGGAGCACGATCGGATGCATGGCATAGTGGCATAACGCACGTGATCAGCGATCATGATGATCGTCATGATGAGCACCTTACTCTGAGTGAGACGCCATGTGAAACAGCCTATGTATTTCAAAGATCAGCTTATTTGCGAGAGCCAATTCTTCAAGAACAGCGCTCCTTGCTCGCTTCGCCAGGGCCGACGCAAGTGGCACCAGGGCCAGTTCCAAAGGAACCACCTCCGGAGGCGCCGCGTCCGCGACGCGCTGGGGCGCGCGTGCGTGGTATGACCGAGCGACGGTGGGGACTTTCGTGAGCAGTTGGGGTTGATGGTTCGAGAGTCGCCAAGTGTAGCAAAAGCATGAGCTGACTGAGCTGACGTAGATCCTTTTGCAAGGGCCCCTTGCCGCATGAGATAGTTGAGATTCGGCCAAGTCCATTTGCTTTGAGTGCCAGCCAGTTACCCAAAAAGTGTGAGAATTGTTCCGGCTTTTTCCACTGATATACCTTGCTGGGACACTTGAGACCCTGTTGCTGTGAAGAACCCGGCCTTGTCCATCTACGTGAAAAGAACGATAGAAGAAGTGAACTTCCATACCCAGACGCTCCGCGCCATAGATGCCGCCCCAGCCAGACCCCAGGTCAACCACCCCTGGCCTGATCGGCAGTCCTATGGCAGTCCCAGCTAGGTCGCGTCTGAGATAGGTCATTGGGGTCACCGGCACCGTCCCTGCAGGGTAGCTAATCGGTTGGGGTCATACACTGCGGGGATCCTGGGACTCCTGGGACTCCGGCAGTTTGAGGGAATCCAGAGAAGCCTTGGGTGGACGACCTCATTCAATCCCTTGATCAGTCATCAACAGACGTGGACCGGGTCGACACGATGGTTGCTTCGAGTGGTCTTCGAGTGTGGTCTTGCTATACAGGGTGAGGTAGAAGAGCCACTGCAGGTGAGCCAGGTTCAACAATGTTCAACCCCAGATTATCCATGTATCGAATAATTGCATAATATTACATACATTTACCCCATGAACATGACCCATCCTGGGTGCGTTGATCGGTGAACCGCGCACACAGAGCTGATTCGTGCGCACCAAACCTCCAGCCTTCACATCACCTTGGGGGGCCTTCTACGAGTCCCAACTGGGATGGCAGTGGCCATGATCAAATATGCACTGCAATCGATCATACGGGATCCACATAAGTCTGAGAAGATGACGTGTTCGACACTCTTCGGTGCCTTTGTCGGGTCATATATTCCGAGAAGGTATAGGACTGGATTTCCCAAGATCGGGACACTCACCCCGGTTCCTCGGGACGGCACCGGCACCGCACGAGGCGCCGCTCATTAACTCTCCCACGGACTTTCCCATTCTGGGCGGTACAGCAGAGGACGGGGCTCAACACGGACCCCGCGAGGGGTCCTCATGCAAAGTTGGGGTTTTCTTTTCGGCCGGCGGGAGGATGGAATGCTAGCAGATGAGTGGGCGTGCCTGAAAATGGTTGCAATGAGTAAGCATGACCATACTAGTGCAACTTCTAGTTGAGCTTGCGAGGATGTTTTGGGACGCTTGAAGCAGACCATAGTTTCAGTCATTCTTACTCAAGTGGGTGATATATATACCAGCACCCTCCAACAGGTCACCACCCGCCACTTTTAAGTCTTCAAAAGCTACCAGAGGAAACCTGTTGGAGGGTGCTGGTATATATATATATATATAAAGAAATATAGATACCAGATGATACCATCCATTCGGGGTCCATGGACTACCTGGTCTACCCCGCCAGACAGGGTGTTTCACCCCGTTGCAATGGTCGGATGAGTTGAACTCTCTTTGTGTTCAGTTCGATCCCCTGGATACCAAAAAGCATCAACAACCAGGAGCTTCCCAGTGACCTCTGAAGAGGGTTGGTATACAAAAACGTGACCTTTTCAATCAATCAATCAAGGCCTTATATTATAGTGACCTGTTCGCCACTGGGATCTCAGGTCACGAGTTCACGGAAGGTCCTGGAAGCTGTCATTGTTGGTCGGTGTTTAGTCCCATCCAGTGAGTGGAGTAGCTGGGCACCCCGACTACCTCCATGAAGAAGCACCCCTTTGCCTTTGTGACTGCTGGAAGCTGTCATTGTTCTACCTTCTTTCCTCGCTCCGGGGCGGATTCCGCACACTTCAGCGCCTCCGGGCGGTTCCGCGCGGAGCGCCGCGCTGGCTGGATCCGGGGGAACTGGTGCTGGGCTCTGGGTGGGACTCCTTTGTTGAGCCAAATGAGGGTGGGATGGATCCGGAACCCCAACCCCCCCAAAGCATGGTAAGCATGGTAAGCATGGTAAGCAGCCAGTGAGCAGCCAGGGAGGTCTCACATCGAAACACAGTCGCAGTCGTGTGCGACTGCGACTGTGTTGTTTTTTTCTTTCTTGGCTGGTGTCATTTGAGAAGCTTTCAAGACTCTTCTAGGTCCCGGCTCGGTGTTGGAGCTCTGTGAGTTCCCAGACCGGATTCCGGATCCTTGGAGCTCCGGACCGCCCACCACCGCGCTTCCGACCGCTTCCGTCGGACGAACGCGCGCGGAGGATCAAGTGGTCATGGTGCAGGCCGAAGGCTCCAACAGCTTCTGGGAGCGGCCCATGCGGCCAGTGAAGGCGGTGGAGAGTCGGTTTCGCGGGCGTGACAGGCAGATCCGGGGTCCTGAGACCTTCCGGGTGGAGAATCCAACCCTTCGGTTTTCTCCAATGAAGAAGCCCCTGGGTCCTGAGGTGGTTCTGAGGCCTCCAAGACCTCTCCAATCCTTCGGCCCCCTCCCATGAAGAAGCTGCTGTGATGGAGTGCCACAACTCCGGGATCAGAGCCGAAGCCTGGGCATTGAGTCGGATCAGTGCCACCCGGAGGAGCTTGAGTGTTGTGTAGGCGCAAAGGCAAGCCCTATGGTCCTATGGTGCTTCAGTTCGTGACCGAACCTTTGGAGTCTAGCGACCCAACTTGGAGGCTTACGATGACCTTCACCAACCAGGGCATGAAGTGACCCCCCCTTTTTCGCGAACGGACAGAACCAACGCGCGCGAACGGACATCGTGTACGACCGGTCGTCAGAACTGGTCGTGCCGTGGCTGGGGGGTGATCCAACTCAAAACAAATGGATACATCGACCCCCAGATCCGACACCTTAGACACCTCGCACCCCCCCAGCGAAATGCTTGAAGTCCAATCTGTGTCCTGAAAACCGCAGCAGCCCCGCATCAACGCTAAGAAGTCCAAGTTTGACTCATTTGACCCTCTGCATCACTGGATCATCACTACCAGGTGGGGGTAGTTCATGAGTCATTCCCAGACCATGGACGCACATTTACTGCTTACCCCATTTATGACCCATCGAATGTAGGTAACGATTCCAGTCTCATTCGCTTTGGCAGTGGAAGTTCGACACGCCCACGGGGGGTTCAATAGCACGATTTTCGCCATGACTCAACCCCTGAACAGAGTATCCCATAGGTACCACAAATATCCACAGATGACGGGTCCTGTTTCAGGTCACTGGATACCTCTCTTGGCCCATCTCCGGTGTGTTCGACCTCGCCGATCGGCCAGGTGCCGCCACACCAGCAGGATACGAAGGCTCCGGAGCCTTCGCGCGGGGCGCGCGAGGTGAAGCGGAGCGGCCAGAAGAAGTGGATCGGTGTACCTTGACCCTCAGTTCGTACCTCGCGAGAGGTGGGTACATAAGAAACCCGTTTTGATTGGGGTTCGTGTTCCATCTTTTCCAAGGTACGAACTGGAGAGTCCGATGATAGCTGGGGGTTCTGAATGAGGAGCCACATGGACACCTCCAGAAAACCATGTCCCTTGCCCCAAGGCGAACCCGTGAACTCGGCCCCGAAGCAACTGATACCAACTGATACCAAGTTGGTGAAGGGTCCATTGCACCGTTGCTTTCGGGTCCTTCACTCACCCGAACGCGACCTAGCGAACCTGCTTGGGGTCCTGCCACTGAGCCTCACTGCCCGGTGAAGAACCGGCAGAGTACCGGTGGAGCACCGGAGCAGTCGTTCGAAACGGTTCCGGGGGGTTGCAGGCTCGTGGATGAGATATGTTGTGTTTTCCATTGACTAATTACATTGGATTTGGGTCATGACAGAACCAAATCCGCTAACATTTCTGGGTGGGTGAACCCAGCCATGGTGCAGGCTCTACATTCTTTATGACCTGCGAGCATGTCGCGCCTTCTGATCTTGTTTAGACAACACCAATGATGCGACCCTTCTGACCTTTCTGGTTTAACTTAAACGAAGAGACCAGGCGTGAAGGGTTAGTTGTCTTGCTACCGGCTTCTGTCTGCATCCACGGCACATCCTCGGCAAAACACCGGGTTAGTCTCTTGCTCCGCGCCATGGCCGCTCCATGACGTGGCCGAAAACGCCATGAGACGTGGCCGAAAACGTCATGAGACGTCCCCCGGAAGATCACGAGTACCAAGGTCTCCTCGTTGCCGGGTCTCCTTTTCTTGTTTGCCCTTTTTTTGGGGGAGGCCGTCGGGCCAGGTCATTGGTGGCAGTGAGGGTGCTGGTATAATGTGGGCTCTTGATGAATAGCCCTCTTATGGAGAGCTTTATCAATCAAGAGCCTAGATTAGATGAAGTATCCAATATCTGGAGGCCATCGCTCTTAGGTTGGAGGCCATCGCTATTAGGGTGGAGGGGAGTTTTCTTTTTTCAGATCTCCCCTTCTCACTCGGCGAGGCGGACAAGAAGCGGGGGCGCCCCAGAGCTGCTCGCAGCTGCGTGCTTGGTGCATCAGGTTTGGGCTTGGTGCATCAGGTGGGGGCGGCCAGAGAAGAACCCATGAAAGACTTTCCATAGAAGTCCAAAGATTATGTACAAATTCCTAGACTTGGCCCCCAAAAGTCCAGTCTGACCCAGTGTAAAACCTGGTCTTTTACCTCCTGAAGTATGGGTTTTGTATGACCATCTTCAGTACAATGAGGTCGACTTGTAGAGATGGGGTGTTTTCCAGTCAGACCATTTTCTTTGGTCCCGGACTCCCGAACCTGGCATCGGCGAGGACCTTCGAAGACCGAGGATCCTTCGGTCGATCCGGTCGATCCGGTCGTCTCGGTTTCACGCCCGAAAGGGTCGCAAGGTCCCTTTGACCGAGGCGGACGAGGGCAGAATTGACCAACATCATGCAAACGGTGGGGATCATAGGACGCCATGAACCATGGTGATACCCAGACGCGACCCAGGGGACTGCCATATGCCGATCAGGCCAGGGGTGGTGCCAGAGGGGTCAATTGATCGGCATATATGGCAGTCCCATGGAGCGTCTGGGATTGTACTAGTACTCAGCTTCAGTTGAACTCCTTGCTCTTCTGCCACGCGAATCCCGGCCAGTGGGGGCCGATGCACTCCCTCCGTCTGAAGCCCGGTTTTAAGTGGAGCCGATGTGTGGCAATCCCTCTCAGTTGGAGCCGTGGAGTCTGAAGTCAATGACCTTCCAGCTCCATCTCACAGTTCTCTAATCAAAGCCTGTGGTTCTCTACCCAATCCGAACTCAGGAAGTCGAAGGAAGAGGAGAGTGGAGCCCTCAGTTGGGAAGCTTCTAGCAAGGATCGAGTCCAACGGTTCATGAGGTGCATGAGGTCCACCATAACGTTATATATATTTTTACTTTTCCCAGACACTCCATGGGACTGCCATATATGCCTACATTGACCCCCACTGGCACCAACCCAATGTAGGCATATATGGCAGACATGGAGCATCTGGGTTTTATCTTGACCACAATGCCACAATCGCTGAGATGATATGAGTCTCTATTGAATTAGGGATCCCCCCCTGATAAAAACCAAGTGACTGAGACGATGTTTTACACAGAGGCGACCCTGGACCCTCACCAACTGGCGACCCTGGACCCGAACCAGCTGCTACATGTTTGAGGTCCAAAACCCTGGTTGTGAGGGTGAAAGCCCTAGCATACCCTAGCTATGAGGGTCCAATGAGCCTTTGGGTAGGGGCAACATGAGTAATGTCTGGACTTTCAGGGTACTTTTGGGTCCAGCCTTTGGGAAGATCAAAGATCCACTCCAGACTCCAGGAAGGTGTGGTCCACCGCCAGCGCTTCGTTTGGAAGCGAGTCGAAGAAAACGGGGGAAGAACGGTTGAGGAACACCGCTTAAACCTGGCCGGCCATTCCCTTCTCAAAGGGGGCATGGCCAAGCCAATGCTCTTTCGAAGCTTCCAACAACTTTGGCGCAAGAAGCGCCACCCATGAGGGGGTGCTTCTCGCCGCAGACCCATTTGGCGTCCAAGCAACCCAAGTTCCGGGTGTTTTTTTCTTTGAAACACATCCCGAAGTTGAGTTGGGATAGAGTATACGTATGTATATTTTGTATATATTTGGTACCACCAACGTAAAGGTTATTCCGAATGACTCAAGACACCTATACCTATACTACAGTAGACTAGACCATAGTAAGACCATGATTGAAACAAACAACACCAAACAGGGACCTGACATGGGTGTCATTGCACCTCGTCATCTGCGAGGCGAGGCACGGCGGGCTCAATTGAAGGACCGATTCCGCTTGGGACCGGCGCGGACCGAGCGTCGGAGGGGGTCACCACGTGCACGGTCCGCCCTTTGAAATAGATCACCTGCGTTTCACGCAGTGAAGGACCATGTTGAGTTCACTTACATGGTCTGGAAGACACATGAAAGTGGATGGCATGGCCTTTTGGCCCCGAAGGGGGGTGAACTCCACGTAACCACGGGACCCTGTCCACATCTCCCCAGCTTTACAAGAAGCATGCAACATGCAGGATTCCACTGTGTGCTTTGCATAATGATACTATTTTCCAACTTCCGAATCTTTTGATTTGTTTGATTTAGCAAAGCCCTTGAATTTCAAGTGAACCAATCGCCAATGGCTGACAGACTAGAAGCCTAGAATTGTTAGTTTGACTATGACTTTTCCTTCGTAAAGGAAAGGAAGTTCACCCCAAAATAGATGGCCATCCCTGGCTCTAGTATGTCTTTTGATGACCTCGGTCGCTCTTTTTCTGCTTCCACTTGGCGGGAAGGGTCGCCCTGAACATTCGCTCGGCAACGATGCGCCGAAGAGCAGTGTTTGTTTTTGAAGACATTCGAGCATGCCCCACTGGGTCAAAGAAAAAAGCAAAACCGAAAGCCAAAGATGGATTAGACAACATCGTCATAGTGATTTTTTTTTTATTTGCATGAGATCTCTCTCTGCTTCGTTCAACTTCAGTTCATTTGTTTTCAGCGAATCGCAGGTAGTGCAGGAGTTCTTCCATGGGTACACTGTGGGATCACGGCCAGGAGCTTTTGGCAGAGTATGGCATCACGATACAAGAGGAGAAGACAGCACGATGCATGGACATGGCTGGCTGGTGAGTGGTTGAGTGGGAATGAGTGGAACGTTCCAGGGTGTTTCATCACCTATCCGATCCCATCGGTGGTTCAAGTTCAGAGGTAAACCCAATTTGAATTGGACACGCATGCCCAGACACTCCATGGGACTGCCATATATGCCTACATTGACCCCCCAAACCACCCCAATGTAAGCATACATGGCAGCCTTCATCGCTGATTCAGGCTCACCGCTCATAGCGGATCGCTGTCGACCAAAACCATTAAAACAACAAATCCCCCGAAGCCTCGTTTTGCTTATATATAGACCCCCAAAGAGTATTCCTGGCGCGGTTTCCAATACACTTTTGGTGAGGATCTACGAACTTCTATCTACCAGCTTCTTCAAAGTTACCTAGGACTGGAGTCCCCAGTCGTGACCTTTTTGCCGGCCAAAGTGACCAAAGTCAAAAAAGGGATCTCAAACCCAAAGGCTCATATGGGACCCTCATAGCTAGGGCGAGTTTTGACCCTCACAACCAGGGTGAAATGGACCCTTCACCAACATGTAGCAGTTGCTTCGGGGCCGAACGGGTCGCCTCTGGGAAAGCACTTGAAAGAACCCAGGTGTTTGATATTTTTTTGGGTGTCTAGATAGGGTGATTGATTTGGTGTTCCCCAAGTGACGAATCCCCTTACCAGGTGTCCCCTTACCAGCCACGTTCGTTTGGGACGGTGAGAGGCACCAGATGTTCGCCGTGAGACTGGGTGACTCTTAACACCATCAGGAGACGTTTTCTTCCTGGTGATGCTGCTTTGGGCAGTAGGGTATGGCTCAGAAGGTCCTCAGAAGCAGGAAACAAGTGACGTATTCCCATCCACCTGGTTTTGCTGGGTGTTTTGGTGCTAAATTCACTTCCTCTCGAACATGTTTTACGCGCGCACACACACACAAACACACAGGTCTTTTCCACGTCCCTCAAGCACATCCAACTCAAATCAAGCAACATCCAATGATCCAAAGGGAATCACTGAAGAAATTGATATATATAATATATATATATATAGAGTTTTGCAGGGGCAGGATGTGTTTCGACCCAGTGAGAACGTGGGAGCTGATGGTTTTTTCACGTAGGATACCTCTGAGCTGGGTGAGTCTTCAATGAATGACACGCCCCTATGATTCATGCTGCAAGACAGATCAATACAAGGTCAGATGAGCACAGCCCGCATACGTTGCAGCACACGGACATGAGCTTGGCATCCGCAGGAAGCCATGATGACTTTCTTGCTCTCCGTAACTAGCTCTTCAGAGATCTTCGACTATCTCCAGGTCCGAAGAGACGCCAGCGCTGCACTGACTGCATGACGCGGTTGTCGTAAGCGCGGCGTAAGCGACGCTGGTGAAGGGTTGATGCTGGATATGTCTTTTCCTCCTTCGGACAGAACATGGAAACCAGGAACCCCTCAGGAAAAGGTAAATCAAACCTGGAGCCCCAAGCAAACATCGAACAGAATGATATTCCACCACCCAAGCAGGTGTTCATTCTTGGCAACAGAGCGGGCTAGTTTGGGCAACAGCTGGCTCATTCACTTGCGCCAGCTCCTTTTCCGATATACAGTCTATATCGGATGAATCTGGATATTTCTTTGGTCAGATGTTGCCTTCACGCATGGAACGAGGTGCTGAAACCTGGATGTCAAGCAACAGGTACCCCACGCCACGACACGACTCGTCAGACGCTGAACGTCTCGGAGCCCGAGCCCGCGCGGCGCTTCAGCGAGGCCGGAGGGGGAAAGGCGGTGGGGCAGGTTGGGAGGAGGAGTTGGAAAGCAAGACCTCTGGAGGGTGGAGGGTGGCAGCCTGACAAGATCTGAGAAGTTATGGACTATCACGATTTATCAAGGACAACTGCTGGAGTAAAACCGATGGATTCCCCAAAACTGCTAGCGACTGAGCAACTTTCATGGGCCAGAAGCAAACACTGCAGAGCATAGCTTGTTGGATGTTGCTTTTCCGCTCGAATTGTTGGAGATCGGTTCAGAATGCTTGGGTCTTCCTTTCTTCTTTACCATCCTATCTCCACCGGTCGCGACCTGGCCGGTCCCAAGGTCCCACCGCAAAGCCACCCCGACCGTTCGACCACTTCCGCGTGGCTCCCGGCGACTTCCTTCGGCGCCGAAGAGACGGTATCGACCCGGGAGAGGACCCGGGGGTTCTCAGGCTTGGGCGGCGAAGACTTTGGAGTGGAAAGAAGCCAAGGCGGAGAAGACCAAGGAGGCGGAGCAGCCGCGGAGCAGTATTCCCGCGGAGCAGCGGTGCTTGGACACCTGGGTGGGTGGAAGGAAAGCTGGAGCTTCCACCAAGCTGGGGATGTGCCGTGTGGGAGGCCTTCGGGAGGCCCACCTGGTGCTGCTTGATCAGAAGCACCCGCGAAAATTAACATGGAACCTGAAAGTGGACCTTTGGAAGACTATTTCCCTCTACAACCTACAACCCAGTGGTTTTCAGGTTCCATAAGTTTCCTGGGTGCACTAGGAATACAGAAGGTTGGAGCTATGTGTTTTTTCCGGGGTCTCTTTTTTGGGGTCCTTAACCATTTGGGAGATCTTGTTGCTACCTGGAAACTCTTTTTGGGAAAGGTACAGTAGGTATAGCTTTATTTTTTCTCCAATGTTTCACATGTAAGTCTAGTTGGATGTATTAGAATAGGGGGAGCCCCCAAAGAACTCTGGGAACACCAACCAAAGACATACTAAATCCATTCGTTGAGAGGTCATCCCATTACAGGTACAAACCAGTTGTTAAAATATAAACCCAGTTGACTTGGTCTCCCTGCCCAGTCCAACCCGCCCAGCACTCCACGTCTTCCGCGCGCCAGTCGTCCAAGCGGAAGAATCGTATGAAGGGCAAGGAGGCGAGACCGGAGTGGAGTAGAGCCCTAGGGCCACCGGGCAAGAAGAAGCTACGTCACAAGGGCATCGCTACGTTCGTCGCGTGTCTACTACTTTATAGTAGTGATGCCCTTGTTACCAGTAGCGATGCCCTTTGTTCCGTTCGTAGCTTCTTACTACTAGTAGTAATGCCAGGAGCGCCCCTAGGAGCTTGCCAGCTCCCATTTTGCGCCCCGCTAGAACCGCGAATCTGAGACAGTTGACCTCCAAGTGTCGGTGGTCTCAAGTGTCGGTGGTCTGTTTCACCTCAGAAAGGATCACTTGAGTTTGTGACTACCCTCCAATGTGGCCACAAGGATCACTAGCCCTTCAGTGAAAGGTCAATCAAACCCATGCTGAGCTCTGGGGTTGCAAGCACATTGCTCCAAATCGGGGGTGGAAGGTCGACGCTGGAGGTGGACGCCATCTAAGATGCCGATGTCTTTTGGATTTCGCACCTCGCTCCAACACGAAACGTCGCTGAAGCCGCAGTAAGTCACAACCAACCGACGCGGCCGGCGTTCGCAAGCGAACAGACGAACAGACGCCCGACGCAACGAACGAACACTTGTCCAACAGGGCCCGGAACCGGCGACTTCCGACGCGACGAAAGCCCGTTTCTTCCCGACGCGAGCGACCTTGCGCGAGGTGGATCCCTCCATGCTTGGCTTCACAGCTGTTCCCCGCGGGCACTATGAGAGCTGAGTGCCCCCACCGGAGCCTCGCAGAGCTTCGCGGGAGCGAGCGCCTCGCGGAGCCCGGAGTTAGGGGGTGGAGTCCGGAGTTAGGCGGCCGAGGGCGTTGCCTAGTAGGGAGGCATCTTATATGACCTTAACAACATGGGTCAAATATATGGGGCAAATGAAAAGGTGTTGCTTTTTTGGGGGCGGTTTCTTTAGAGGTGTGGTCTTTCTGCGTTTTGGACATGGAAGAAGTGAGCTAAGTGGAAGAAGTCTTCCAAAGTCACTAAACCAAGTGGATCTTGGAAGAAGTCTTGGCAGATGAAAACAGGTGAGCCCTCCTCAAGTGTGCCCAGATGTCAGGCGACCTGGGACCCAGTTTTTTTTTACCCGGTGTTCTTTGGAAGACCACCAGTTCCTATGCTATTTCAGGGATAAGAGATGACATCTACCCTGAAAGTCCAGTCGACTATAAAAAGAATGGTCTGACTAGGGGACCTGATTTCGGGAACTTCCTAGAACCCTTCAGCCGGTCTAGACATCTCGTCGACCTTGGAGCTTCAGCCGGGTCACATCTTCGTCGTGCATCGACACGGACGAACCGATGTGTTGAGCCTCCATGACATGACTTGGTCACAGTACTTCTAAGATGAGGGAACTTGGTCACAGTCCCCTCACTGAAGAGGTTTTCAGATGGTTTTTCATCGTCTTGCCGACAAGGAAGGAGGAAGACCAACAAACTGCGAATCGACTTCGCTGTGTGTGAGCTAATACCCTGCAACAATCATGAAAGTGGACAAGCCCCCCTTGGTAGAGGAAAGTAGTCCACTGTCCACTTCCATGATTGTTTCAGGGAGTGTACCCTTGTAGACCCAAACCCCAAATCAAAAAAGATCCTCTTGACGGCGGGTGTCTCACCGCTGTTCACGCTCTTGTTCGCTGCCGGACGTGGCGCGCGGAACAACAGGCACCTTTGGTTCGGAGGGGGCCAGAAGTTGTGGCCGATGAGAAAACCCAAAGATCCCTGCAGGTAAAAGTCGGTAAACAACTATCACTTTTTTAGAGGAAGGCATTTACTAACCAAAGCGGAAAAATCCGCTGTTACAGGGAATAGGATACACCAGCACAGCCGAAATCGATGCTTTTTTTGCAATGGTTTCAGAGGAAGACACCACAATCCCCAGCAAGGTGGTCTATATGGGGCCCCCATCTATATAGGGGACATCTTGGGGTCTGTATCAACTCTAGAACCACTGGTGCTTCCTGGATCCTTTGTTCAACTGGTGCTTTCCTGGATGTTCCTTCGTCCGATACGGTTCCTGTAAAGGGCCCCTGTCCAGATGGCTTCAACTGGTTGGTCCACCTATGTTTTTTTCCTCGCAGAGTGTAGCAACAAGGCGAACTGGGTGGGCTCCGAACGAAGAACTGGAGGTGCGAGAAGCCATCCGCGGTGCCCTGTTTTTGTGCCGTCTCACCTGGTCACAGAAAAAAGGGAAGAAAAGCCACGTGGAACCCCGAGAGGACGACGACGATTGGCAAGGGTCCACGTCGTCCCTGTTTGAGTCAAGCTGAGGTCGGACACCCCTGCGGTTTGATCATGAAGCCTCCCGAAAAGAGGGAGATTTCGTGGGTTAACCTTATCAAGCACCATCAAACATCATCACACTTACAGTAAACTTACAGTACACCAACAAAGGGAGTCTCCAAGTTGAGTCGCCAATAGATTTCAGGTCCCTCAAACCCCAGGTTCCGAGCTTCTGGACTTCTGGCAGGTGCCCACATGCTCGATCTAAAAGATGGGACATCATCTGTGCAAAAAAATCGTGGAGGGCCCTCAATTCTCACCTTGGAAACCTTCCAAGATCATGAGTCTTCATGCAAGTTGGATCAGGTTAACTTGCAACCGCAAGCCTCAAATCTGAAGAGACTCCCCTAGTTCACCCGAACCGTTCGAAGAAACTATACGTTCCACACACGCCAAGATGTGTGGAGCTTCGTTCAAGAAACACGCCGATGTTCGGTGTTTCCAGTGCTTCAATCGGTGCTTCCAAGTCGATCCTTCAGTTGGACCCCCGAGACACCGCGCGGTGGCCACACGGGTCACCCGCGGCCAGAGGCGTCCAACCGTCACCTCCTCTCGGCGGCGGTTTCACTCGGAGCCGAAAAGACGGGTCGTCGTGAGATGCGGCGCTCAAAAGGATGGGACCTCTACCGGAGGATGTGACGCGTGACGCGGTTCGGGCGACGTGGGTTTCGGGGCGGTTTTGCGGGTACACATTGTACTTGAGCACCTGTTGTTTGTTGTAACAGAAGGGCCCCAGGGGACACCCTGGGAATGCGTCTTTATATTTATATTATAAACATAATATATATTATATATGTACACGCGTATATGCTTATGCTGCTTCATGTCCCATGTTCTAACGTACTTGAAGTCGGGTTTCTGGTGCTGAAACCTCAGGATTTCTCGGTTCGAGGGAGGTGACACGGACGGACTCATGCATCCAGTGAACTCGTTCCTATAGGGAAAGCGGTGGAAGCCTTACTGCAAGTGGCTGTCGGGGATCTGCTGATTTTTGGGCAGTGAAAGGAGCAATCGCTCTGGCAGTGTTCTTCTCCCCAGGCTGAAAGGTGATGCAGATATAGCATCGGTGTAGCAGGGGGGTTGGGTGGTGGCTGTAGTCTGGTTCCAGAGTTGCCCGCAACTTTTGGGCGCACCAAACCACCTGCAGAGGAGCACTGTGGAATCATTAAAAAACCTATTCCGAGGAACGCGAAACAAGTTCCAGCCGTAACGTTGATGAATCTCCCATATGACTCATGTTACCTGACCTGTTCGTCATCCCCCACCACTAACTAACAGGGCAGAATGTGAGTAATTGGGACTTTCAGGGATAGGAATTGGTCAAGTTTGTGAGTGTACGCTATATGTAAAGCACGGTGAACGGGGTGACCGAGGATGGACGCCCCATGAAGCTCCTAAGCTGGAGGGAAAATCTGGATTTCGCCTCGGAGCCTTGGCATTTGGATGAAATCCAAGCTGAATTCCAAATCGTTCCAGGTTGAAGAAGTTCGAGGTTCTTTCATACCTCGAACTCCTACCTTGGGTAAGTATAAGTTCCTGCTATTTTGTAAGGGTCATGTCCCATTTCCTAAGGTACTTTGGAGGGTCCAGGTTGAAGTGCTTCAAGTGGCGACTCTCACACTTGTAGTCATTCCTCGATTTGGACAGCACGAGCCTTTCATCCTCGAAACGACGAGCTTTTCCCGGAGGCCCGAACACGAGTCCTCTTGACATCCGACCAGAGTTTGGTCACGAGAGGTGAGCAAAGTTCAGAGATGGGTGTATACCCAGGAAGTCGTGGCCCACCATTTATTTAATAGCCTGAATCCCGAAGAACCATAGTCTTACTGTTCGGGTTTTACACTACAACCACCAGAATCGTTCCCATTTTCAACCATGGTCAACTGGACTTCCAAGGTCTAGGGATGATCCCCTGGCAGCGGATGATCCCCTGAGTCGGTCTATGGTCCTTTCTTGGAGGTCGGGACGCCTGTTTCAGGCTCCTTCGAAAACCAAGAGACGTGACAGGCCACACTTTTTGGTAGAAACCTGTGGCAAGTCCACCAAGTCAGAACACGTTCTGTCAGATGAAAAAGCCAGAACTTCAGAACTTCCAAATGACTCATGTTTTTATTGTTATTTTTATTCTTTTCCGCGACACCTTGGACTGGGTAGGATGAGTCATTTGGACGAACCATGGTGAAGCATGACGAACCAAAGCGGGTTGGAGCCGAGAGAACTTCGGCCTTTTTAAAGTTCAACAGGCTTGGCACGAAAAGCAACCAAACTGTGTTTACCATGTGGCTTGGTTGATAGCTTGTTGAAAGACGTCATCAGGCGTCTGTCTAAATGTGACCAAAGGCGGCATGCCCCCCCACCCGGATTTGAAGCAACTTCTTCCTCCTTTCTCTTCCGCTGGCCTTTTCTGCGGTCTCCTGCAGTGATTTGGGGGGGCTCCCGCTGGCCGCTTTGGCAGATGATGCGCCAGGCAGGGTGGGGAGTGTCCCGGTTCATATGGTCAAAAAATGGGCTGGTGGCCTAGCCCAAGGGGTGCTACTTCTGAATGTCGTTGATGGTTGATTGATCCAATCCACCAGAAAATGATTTAGCTTGAAGATCAAAAAGTGCGAGTTTGGATGGGAAGATGATGAACAAGACCCCAACTTTTGAGGGTCTACGTGAATTTTCCCAGTTGCTGGTATCAAATGATTGATCAACCCGCCTTATTGGAGAAAACGGAATGGGAATGGACCACGCGGTTTCCACCCCAAATCTGGGACCACGCGGTATTTTGATAGGGAGACCGTCTGGTCTACTTCCCTTCGTCTCGAGTTCGTGATGGGGTCGAACTTGGAGGTCTCTCCATTTTTTAAGCAAATTCAATCACACTCAGAGAGCTTGGACCCACAACTGCCTGGTTCCAGTCCTGGTTCCCCTCAACTGCTTGACCCTCCTCATGTTTGAACCTACCGGTTGGACTTCCACCTGAACCATGTTGGTACTGGAGGATTACCCCAGAAGGCATACATGACCCCAGTAACAGGTACGGTTGTGTTTTTCTGGCCCCGTCCTATACTCTGGGCCCAGACCATTCGGTGACTTGGACATTCACCGGATGGTCTGGGGTTGTTTGTACCGCGACCCAAATATACACCACCATTGCACACCCCGAACGGAACCGGCGAGTCCGGTGAAACCTCCGGCCTCTCGAGGCGTTGGAGGCGAGTCCGGTGAATCAACGCCAAAGCAAGTAGCAATCACGCAGTATTGAACTATCCAAGCTAACTGGTACTGGTACGTATTCATTTGGCAACGGCAAACACACATACCATTTTGGGTGCTCTGGCTGAGGGCGATCGACGTCTGCTGGCCAGGTCGTTTGGGGCCTTCTCCTGGCGCTCCAGGTGGTTGGATTCAACGGATCACCTTGGTTTTCGACGCCAAATGACTCATTTTGCCTC